CCTATCATCACTGTATTTGATTTTGGTACCCTGCATCTTCTATATGCATTTATCTAATTTGAAGAGGGGAATAACAAAATGCTGAAACAAGGACACAGGATGACCCCTAGAAACAATGATAATCACAAGATACTGTGTTGGAAACAGGAGATGGGGAGGGACAGGATAGCAGGAGAAAAACAAAGGAGGGGGTAACAAATGTTTGACAAGCAATGTACTCATTACCTTACTCATGTAACTGTAACACCCCTGTACAGCATCTTTACAATGAAATAATTTTTTAAAAAGTATTTAATGAGGGAGTTGATTGAAGGGATCTGTTTATCCAAACAGTAACATAATCCATAAATTTTAAGTTTTTGTCTTCAGATATGAGAGAACTTATTTTTCAAATTCTGAAAATGGTCAAATTTATACAGTCTTCTGTGTGTATCTGTAAAGGATAGCTACCAAAGAGGTGGCAGATGAAATAAATCAAATTTCTGAAGACATCATTGAAAACCTCCTGACCTAAAATAGAACGTTTCTGTGACATGAAATGTATTAATCTTTTCCCCTTTCATTGATCCCAAACAGTAGTATCTGGAACTATTTCTGAGAATGATTTTGAAGGGAAAGACATGCATGCGTTTCTTCATTTTTCTAATGGGCCTTTCACTATTGTTTTGTCTGAATGCAGTTTTTTATTTGTGTTGCTCCAGACGTGGTCCCACCACAAGCATCTTTAAACCAGACATTAATAGCATAGTTCACAGTCATTACTGTCAGTGCTCAAACACAAATATTGCATTTGTGTTTGTAAAAGCTACACATCAGATGTTAATTAAGTGCATTTGGTTTTTTTCTGCCTAAACAATCTGGCATAAAGGGTTTACATTTATATCAGTTCACCATAAGGTCTCTACAATATCTGAATCACCAGACATAGAGTATATGATAAATACAGTGTTTCCACACAAGAAAAATAGCAGAATTGTCAGGCAAACATCAGGCTTGTTATATTTCCCTGTGAAATAATAGCAACTAAATCTCAGTTTCTTTTTTCCCCCTTTTGATTAAAAAAAGTATTTAACTAGGAGTAAACACCAATATTTAGAATGATAATTTTTTCCATTAAAGAACACATGGAAAGTGAAATCATATGAGAGATTTTTTCCCCCTTGTTTTTAGCTTGCTTCAGGGCGTTGTGACAGTTGTGTTGGAATAAAATTGGAATTTCAGCCTTGCAGAGATGGGATTCATGCTGCCAATCTACAGCAAGCAGGAGAGGAGTGAAACCACAAACTGAGAAACAAACTTTCACATCAGGCTTCTAATTTTAGAGCAATTTTTTTAAAAAATGAATTGCTTTCATTAAATGACATTTAACTAGAAATATGATTTGTTGGGATTAATTATCTCTCACTTAAAATACCTTCTTAGTAGGTTTAAATTAACATATAAAATTAAATTCGGCATTTAAATTAGGTCAATGGGACTGTTGGATGTAAGTGTAGAATATGATTCTGTATAATTACATCACTCTATTGGCTTTGACTTGGAAGGATTAAATGGAGGAAATTGGAAAAACATGAATTTGGGACAAAACAAAAAAGGAAGGGAATTTTCTTTTCTTTCTTCTGCCCCTTCCTTTCTGCTGAAAGAAATGATCATGCCTTATAAAACCTTCCCAGAAGAGATTTCCACTTTGATTAGAAACACTTCAGAGTCAATGACCATCTCTCCTATAGTCATTGACTATCTCCCTATTCAGTCCATGAATGAGATATAGCAATAAAAGAAAATGAAATTATTGTGTAAATAAAGTTTAATAGAAGAATTTAAAACCACATATCCAAGCTTATGAGAAAAATGATTCTTTAATATTAATCACTTGCCTTTTATTTAAAAGAACATAATCTAATTTTTTGTCTTTAATTTTTCTAAAAAACAATGACTAATGTATACTGTTGAAAGGATTTTAAAAGCAGTGTTTCTTTTTATTCAAGTCAGTGCTGAGAAATAGTACATGTATATACTTTATAGATATCCTAAAGATAGGGATTAACACCTAAATTTGTTCTGTCTTTCATGATTTCTCTTATGAGTTCATGGTTAGCAATGGGTTCATTAATTAGCAAGAAAGATCAGTGTTGGAAATTCTACTAGTAATAGGACAGTTATTAAATACATAGTAGTGGAAGACGCCTGGGTGAATGCTGGGGGTAAATTCAGAAAGAAATCCCATGACTGCAGGGATTAAATGAGCCATGTCATGATGATGTGGAAGAAGAGCTCTTGGTCTACACAAAGTGGACTTGAAAGTGACTTGGTCCCCAAAGCTGATAAACTACATGTGACAGTGTGACTGTTGACTGAGCATATTAGAGCTATGGAATAACAAAGAACAAGAATACAGCTGTATACATTTGACATGTGTTTTCAGTAGGTGTGCTGACTATAATAACCCATGTACCCATGTGTATAACCTCTTCAGCCAAACCCCAGTGTGATCCAGCTCTTCACTGGAGTCATGGCATAAATGTCACCACTTTCTGAGTTAGAAGAGAATGTATAGATCAGATCTTAAATGACACTATACAGAGTGTTATCTGGAAGAAGAGGAAAATAACAACTCTGGATATTGTTCCTAAATGACAAAATTCTAGTTAAAGTCTGTGAAATGTTAAAACTGATGGAATTCTCCAAGATATTTAAGGTGATCTGTGTATGAGAAAGAGAGAGAGATTATAAAGAAATTTACTTTTTATAAAATCAGTATTATGGAAAAATATTATAACCTGATTTATTCTTGAAAATTCCCAGTAGAAAGAGGCCAAGCCTCATAAGTTGAAATGTTTCTGTATGTACATGAGTAGGAAAAAGATGAAATGCCCTTTTTTATTGTGAAAATACTGTACAGAGGAGTTACAATTACATGAGCAAGGTAATGAATGCATTTCTTATCAAGTATTGTTGCCTCCTCCTTTGTTTCCCCTTCCCATCCCTTCCCATCTCCCCACCTTACCCTCTTACCCCCCCCATGCCAAAGTTGTAAAGTTCATTTTCGACATAACATACACAATGGAATTCTATGCCTCCATCAGAAAGAATGAAATGCCCTTTTTGTGCACTTTCAAATATCCATTAATTTGAGAGTAGTCAGTTTAGGCAACAAAGCCCCAAACTATTACCAGTACAGAAAAAAGAAAACCAAGAAAGCACTTCTCTGTTGGATATGGACAGCATGAATAAGAAGTTTGAGAGAAGCAAGAAAAAGCAATGGCAATAACATAGAGCTGAAACAGCTCAGGAATTGTCATATGCTGAAGATGAGGTCAGCCTTTAACCCCATTAGTCCCTTGTCAACTTTGCTTTTAGAAATGTTAGGTTCCCTTAGAAATGTTAGGTTCCCCCCAAGGAGGAAACTGCTAACCTAAGCTTTTTATACCAATGCTAATTTAACCAAGTTGTCCATCTTGTAATATAAACTATAATTAAAGCTGTGCTATTTCTGTAATGTGAGCTACACTATCCCTGAGGCAAAGAAAATTGGGACATTTGTCCCAGAGCTCTAGACTAACAGGCTTCTTTCTGCTTGGCAATGGCAAACCCAGTCTCTGGAGAAGATGAGGATAAAAGAAAGAGGTGGGTGGGGAGGAGATGAGGATAAAAGAAAGAGGTGTCTGGGTGCTGGTGGTGGCTCACGCCCATAATCCTAGCTACTCGGGAAGCTGAGATCTGAGGGTCACGGTTCAAAGCCAGCCCAGGCAGGAAAGTCATGAGACTCTCCAATTAAACACTCTCCAATTATCTACAATTAACCACCAGAAAATTGAAAGTGGCGCTGTGGCTCAAGTGGTAGAGCACTAGCCTTGAGCTGAAGAGCTTAGGACATCACCCAGGCCCAGAGTTCAAGCCCCATGACCGACAAAAAAGAAAGAAAAAGAAAGGAAGGAAAGAAGGAATGAAGGAAGGGAGAGAAGGAGGAAGGGAGGGAGGGAAGTAAGGAAGAAAGAGGTATTACATTAAGTTGTGAAAAAAAAAAGATATGAAGTTTGTAAACACATGATACTCAAAACCCAGCAAGGAAGGAAGGAAGGAAGAAGGAAGGAAGGGAAGAAAGGAAGGAAGGAAGAAAGAAAGAGGTATTCCATTAAGTTGTGAAAAAAAAAGATATGAAGTTTGTAAACACATGATACTCAAAACCCAGCCAAACTCCTATCATCACTACTCTTCCTAATTTCAAGGATATCAATGTCCTCCTTTCCTAACCAAGACGGGTATTAAGGTTCATTTTGGCCTAGTGTTTGTTTGTCTAATTCAATGATTAAAGGTGTTTGGAGAGCCAAGCATCGGTGGCTCATGCCTGTAATCCTAGCTGCTCAGAAAGCTGCCATCTCAGATCACATCTGAGAATTTGAGGCTGACACTGAAGCCAGCCTGGGCAGAAAAAGGTCCTGTGAGACTCTTATTGCCAGTTAACCACTCAAAAACTAGTAGTGGAGCTGTGGCTCAATGTGGTAAAGTGCTAGCCTTGAACAAATGAGCTCAGGGACAGTGCCCAGGCCCTGAGTTCCAGCCCCACAACTGACCAAAAAAAAGGTGTTTGGAGTCTAGCAGGTGGATATAGAGGTATGATTTGTCATTGTCTCTAAAACCTGTAGCCCTGGCATTGAATTCCATATTCTGAAGAGATTGACCTTAGAGATGGATGAAAGCAAAAGGTCTGTTACTGTTGATGATAATTCTATATGTGGTTTCTTTTCTCCAGTGGCCTTTTGGAATATATGGACTCTTTAATTCTTGTAGAAACCAACATCACCTGCTTGTAGCTTACATAATACTGTTACAAAACACAAAAGAGATTTTTAGGAAATTCTGAAGTTGACAATGAGGAATATTTATACTCTTTTAGGGGAAAATACAAGAAATTTCTTTGATTAAAAGTGGTGGAAGAATAGAAGCTTACATGCAATGCTTTTACTCTGCTTGATTAAGATGCTTTTCTAATGATTTAGGTGTTGGTGCCAGTCTCTATGTGATGAACTGCAATGTTACCATAGATTCCCATGACTTGTCAGCAGGAAGAGAGATTGCTACTGCAATTCGAGGCTCAAATCCACATGGACTGAAGGGTGTCCAAGCAATGGCTTTTCCCCATGAAGGGAAAATTGAGATTGCTTGCAATGTAGAGAGTTTTGAAGACCATGAAGCTACAGAGAGCTCAGAAGACACTCAGTATGTGGCTTACAATGTCCTTGGGCACCAGTATACTTATGTGTCTCCTCATTACATAGAAGCTCAAGTTAAAAAGTTGGCAAATGATCGGGGAATTGGTACCATAGGGAGAGCATTGGTTGGATTTACTCCCCAAGAGTGCAAGAAGTGTGCTGAATATGCTATAAAGGAAAATATTGGGGAATTCTGGAAGATTCGAGAAGGTGTTTTCATGTGATCCCATCTTCATTGAAAATTTAATCAAAAATATCAGTTATTATCAAGATTCATTTTGGTTATTGAGGGTGAGAAGCGGACACAGAGAACGAGGAAGCATTTTCAGATGTTTATTTAGTTTAGAATTGTTCACCATCACTAGTACTGATATTAGTCATCATTAAAATTTCATGCAAGCCTTTTCTATGTTTAAGTAGATTAGATACCATTCTGAAATACATGGATAAGGTGACTGTGACTATGAAAGATCAAATCATCTTTGATTTTTGTGAATAAAAATAAATATGGATTTGATTTTGGCTGTCCTGAACTCTTCATTTTCATACTCTGTTTCAACTCTCAATGTTCTTTGATTAATCATTATTTAAGATGTGAGTAAAAAAATCAAGTACCAAGCAACTAAGAAATGGGGAGAAATGTAAAAATAAAAATTTCCATTCAAATCACCATTGTCTTTTTTTGTCTTGCATGCAACTTTTTAGATAACTTATCCTTTGACTTAAGGTGTATTCCACAAGCTAGATTTATCTAATTTTTATGTTTATATAGGAAGATGACATGGAGGTTTACGGAAGGATATCAAGAAAGCATTTATCTTTTTTGGAATTCAAACAAAATTTTTTTGTATGTTTTTTTGTGTTTGTTTTTTTTGGGGTCCGGTCGTGGGGCCAGAATTCTGGGCCTGGGCACTGTCCCTCAGCTCTTCAGCTCAAGGCTAGCGCTCTACCACTTGAGCCACAGCACCACTTCCGGCTTTTTTCTTTTTGCTT